ATATATTATATATTATATATTTTATAATATAATATAATATAATATAATATATTATATTATATTATATTATATTTTTTTTGTTATATAATATTGTTTTATATTATATTATATTATATTATATTATATTATATTATATTGTATTGTATTGTATTATATTATATTATATTATATTATATTATATTATATATGATATTATGTATTGAATATTTATAATATATTATAACATAATGCAATATCATATAATATAATATAATATAGTTCAGGGTTCAGGGATTAGGGTTTAGGGGTTGTGTGCCCTTTCATGGGGTCCGTTTTTCAGACATCTTACTTTGCTTAGGGTCTATGTTACTTCTGTCAGGCTGAAGGATACGACTGTTTGCATCGAAGTTCTCCATCTTGCGCCCAGCTCACAAGCTTTAGTTCGAGAGGCACCCCGCACAAAATGCTCTCGTGGAGCCTGCAAGCCTCGAAATCGTGTTTCAAGTAAGCAAAGCATCCACTGCCGGACAGTCTTTCCTTGGCATCGTATGTACGATTAACATGTTCATTTGGCGCGTGAATATGGGCTGCTTAGGAATCTTCGAGAAGGCATATTTTGGCGTGCTGTCGTGGACCCCTAAACCCTAAACCTCTAAACCCTAAAACCCTAAAACCCTAAACCCTAAACCCCTAAACCCCTAAACCCTAAAAACCCTAAAACCCTAAAACCCTAAAACCCTAAACCCCAAACCACCGGACGGTCCCATAGTTCTCACGTTCCCCTGGAAGCAAAGAGCCTTCAACCCCAGGCCCAAGCCTCTTCCCATTGATCGCGTAAGTCCGCCTCTGCTTGTAAGAAGCTTCTTGCAGATCCTATCACTTTGCCAAAGGTGGTATTTAGGGTTTAGGGTTTAGGGTAATTTAGGGGCCTCAACACTTAGAGTAGGGGTTCGGGGCTATATTACATTATACTTTTCAAAAAGAAGGCCCCGCAACCCTATTCTAATTATTAAGGAGTTATCATTATAGGGTTAATTACTAAAATCTCTATGTTTATGGAAACTATACTTAAAATATAGCCCAAGTAGCTCTGGACTGCCTGCCGTTTTGACTGCCGCACCGAGGCCTTTACGTGCACGCAGGCGCTCGATTTGAGGTGCCAGGCGAGGCACCCAAAACTCTCCACATGTGTCAGGGTTTAGGGTTTACAGTTTAGAGTTCGGGCCGTTTGTGCAGGGTCTTTGGTGTTTAGCTTTTTTTGGCCCCTCTCTCGCTCTCGCGCATGCTCGTCTTTTCAGCGCACATTGTGACACAAAAGTGCATGCTCTGCATGTCTAGCACTGTGCAAGGTGCGTGTATGTGCGGGTGTGTTTTCGTGTGTGTGTGTGTACATTTATGTCGGTGCCAAGGGGCAGGTAGGCCGTCTACGTTTGGGCATGCATTCACCTGTGCGTCAATGCATGTGTTTGTATGAGATACGCAAGTAAGTAGGCAGGCAGGCGGGTAGGCAGGCGGGAAGGTAGGTAGTGGGCGGATGGGTCGGTGGGTGGGTGGGTGGGTAGGTAGGCAGGTAGGATGGATGCGCGTGCATAGCAGTTGCAAGAACGTGTTCGCATCATGCCGACGCAAACATAAGCCTAGGCGCAGTCCATCTGTCGATGTGCGGTAATTTGCTTTGCTCATGCATGTCTTTTTTTTGTATCTACGAGCGCATGCATGCACATCTGTTCGCGCATGTACACACTGGCAGCAATTTGACCAGCTTTAGGGCAGAAAGGTAATCCGCAGGTGCCTGTGTTTCCCGTGCATTGTGTTTTGCCATTTTTGGATTGTTGACGTACCCTCATGTTGGGAATGTGGCTGGTTCAGCTTCTTTTTGCCTTGCTGGTAGTGTCGCAGCAACTTCGACGGCTTCAGCCGAGCCTGAAAAGTTGCTAGGTGAACTCGGCTAAAGTGTCTGCAGATTAGGAGTAGCTGTGCTGTTTGCCTGTTCTGTTTTGTACTTAAAGCCTTTGTCCATACTTGCTAGGTTTGCTGAAGTACGATTGCACTGGTTGCTGAGTTCGATCTTCCAGAACATAAGTCGAGGGATTTCTGCCATGTCCAGGTGCAACAGCTCAAGCCCCTTCGGACACCACTTCCTCTGCTACATATCCTGTGCCTTCATGCCCGAACCAAGACCCAAAGCCTGCGGAAGGCAACTTGGGCGTGGCCCACATGTCCGCTCTCATGGGCTTCCGCTCCACTGCGCATTTGAGCCACCTCAGGCTCACGACCGGTGCAATCAGGCTTTGCCAGTTCAGCTCGCAGAATCAAGACATGACAAGTTACGAACTTACGAGTGCTACTGGAGCTACTAAGATGCTCTTACTAGACAACGCCGCAGTTCTCATTGCTGCTTGTATGCAAGTGCCAAAAAGGAGCATTAGTATCGGGCTGGCAGCTGTGGCGGTGGTTGTGGTGCTGGGGTGTGGTGTTGCTGCTCGTTGTGGTGCTGGTGGATTGTGGTGATCCCCAAGGCCAGTTGTAGGTTTGACTTTGTGTGTGGCACCCCTTTTCCCAGATGCCGCAGCGCTGCGTGCAGCAGCGGCTGTCAGAAACCACCTCTCCTGCTGCATATCAGCTTTTGCTGGTTTCTCCCTGGCAATGCACAGGGGAACCCCCCCCGCATGTGCCGCAGCTTCGCCAGCTTGGCAGCGCAGGACGGTGAAGACCCTGGAGCAGCTCGGCGCCCACCTGAGCTCTTCGGCCACGGCAGGTCGGGAGGAGATCGCTTATCAGGCCGGGCCAGGAAAGCAGGGAAGCGAACCGGAGCGTTCGTAAACGCCCTCTGTGGATATAGGAGCATTTTTTGCGGCCTGCGAGTGTCTCTAGGCGTCGAAACTGTCAGGAAACATGCGAGCAATGCGGAATCACGCGAACGAATTCCTTGTGACTGTCGCTTTTACCGGCTTTTTCGAGCGGCAAGTGAATTAGAGAGGTAGACCGTGCAACAGTCTGCATGTGTGTGGGTGTGTGTGGGTCTTGGTCTCACTCTCCCTCTCTCCCCCTCTCCCCCTCTCTCCCTCTCTCCCTCTCTCCCTCTACCTATCTCTGTCTCTGTCTTTCTCTCTCCGTCTCTATCTCTTTGCGTGTCAGCGTCTCTCTGTGCATCGGTCTGCTTGTACCACATAGCCTTCCATGTCTGGAAGTGCATCTTACGGACAGTGCCATAGTCGCTGAACACCATCAGAAAACCTATGACCCCAAATCCCTCTTGTCTGCTCCCTTTTTCGGGAGAGGTCCAGCTGCAGCGTGAATACATGCCCCTTGCCGTGCCGCTGATGGTCGGCAACGTGCTTTTCCCACGCCTGCTGCCATTTGGACTATAAACCCTAAAGCCTAAACCCTAAACCCCAAAGCCTAAACCCTAAAGCCTAAAGCCTAGACATGGCCGGTGCGCGCAGCTGTGAGGTGAGTGCACATGTCCTTTTAAAAAATAAGCCTAAACCCTAAACCCTAAATCCTAAACCCTAAACCCTAAACCCCTAAACTAAGGCTTGGGCGTGGCCCTCCCGTGACAAGGGGGGCATTCAGGGTTGGTTTCCAGGCTTCTCACTCAGACCTGAAAGACCCCTTAAAAGAGCCCCTTAAAGGATTCCTCAAAAGAACCCCTTAAAGGGTTCCTTACAGGGTTCCTTACAGGATTTCTTGTAAGGATTTCTTGTAAGGATTCCTTGAAGGAGCCCTCCTTAAGGGCTCTGGAGGGAAGTGGAGGAGGCCGGAGGCCGGAAAAGCTCCAAGGGCCCGGAGGCCTTTCCAAAAAGGATCGCTGGTCCATTCTCATTAAACTAACCAATTATGACTAGAATTGTTGCTATAGTGGTTTAACAAAAATAGGAATAGAAATAATAGCAATTATAATAATAGTAGCAACAAAAAGCCCTAATTTGCATTATTGTAGTCTCCTCTCGAAGTCGCGATGCCTCAAGAAAAAACCCGAGCGTTAAACAAAGCCAACTCAAGAGCTTCCTGCGCAGAAGGAGGGTTTAGGGTTTTAGGGTTTAGAGTTTGGGGTTTAGCGGTTTAGGGTTTGGGGTTTGGGGGTTTAAGGTTCTACAACGACTCTTGTGCCAAAGAATCACCGGAGGTATGCATACTGTGACCCGCTTCCGGACTCTTGGGAGGCCCCCCCCCCAACTAGGCCGCAACAACCTGCAGAAACCCTTACGGCTCCCGACCTTGCAGTCCTACGCTGGGCTCTTTTGGTAAGGAGCTGAATCTTAAGTTACGCAATAGGGATCTATCGTAAATTATATGGTTTCTTTGTTGTGGTCACTTAAGTTATCTCCCTGAACAAGAACCCAGTGCAAAGCCCGCATTTCCAAGCTCCAAAAGGTAAAGATCTGAAAAGCTCGAAACACCTTGCTGTAGACTCCGACAGACTGAAATCCCTGAACCCCGAAGCCTGGAAGCCGAAACTCTGAATTTTACAACTATTCCAAGCTCTGCACTCCCTACATCCTCAACCCTGATCCCCAACATCCCGGCCAGAAGAGCTCGATTTCTTGGACTGGGGGGCGCAGGGCTGAAGCCCGCAAAAAAAAAAAGCCCCCCCTGCGGAGCGACTCCCAGGCCGTGGGAGGTGAAGGCCGCCCAGTCCGACGTACCCACCTCGAAGCAGGCGGGGCAGGGACGGCTCCTTTTGAAGTCCGGCTATTGCCCGAAGCCACCGCCACCGCACCGCGGCGCCTGGCGCCCGAGTGCTTTTTTGGAGTCTATCCGGGCATATTAATATGAATGTACTTTACGACGGTGTGGTGACGGAGATGAGGGTGCTGCTGCCGCTGACGGTGAAGATGGTGGTGTTCGATAACGATAATGATAATTAATGATGTTTTCAATCATGGCTGTGGCTACGAGATGATGGTCAGAGTAATGATGTCCATGTCGACGATGGTGATGTTGGTGCTGGCGACGCTGATGACGAGGGCGATGACACTCCCGATTACGTTGAGGCGAGTATGGTGCAGAGGAGGCTGGGTGGTCCCGACGATTATGATGATAATGATGACGATGCTCATCATCGTCGTCATCATCATTTCTCCATAAGAGGCGCTGACCAAAGACGCGGACACAATGGTCAGCGAGTTGCTCCACAAGGCACAAACCAGGGCTCTCGGGGTCATAGGCGGAGAAGGACAACTTCCGAGTGAACATGTTCGCCGGATATCCGTTCACCTGACTCGAGTAGAAGTTCGCCGATGTGTTGAATGACGGGATTAACAACCTCTCGTTTGGTGTCAGTCCTCAGGAAAAGTCGGCTCAGGCCCTTAATTCGATGCAAGGCACTTCGGACATCGGCGTGCAGTCGTAGCTTCGTTAGTCAAGTCCTAAACAGGCTGCGATGACAGAAGCAGCACACGTGAAAGCAGCAGGGCACACGCCGGGTTTTCGACTTCGGCGCATGTGCTGCCTTGAGTAGGACACTCCCAAGGCCCCCTGCCTTGCCTCTCAGTGAGGCCGCCTATTGCAACAACACGCTGGGCCTCAGTCCCTTTGCCAGTGAGCGGCCGCTTGGCTTGAGCCAAGGGTTCCAATATAATCTAGTATAAAATATGATATAATGTAGTATAACATAATATAATATAACATAATATAATTCAATATAACATAACATAATATGACATAATAAATATAATATAATACAATACAATAATTTTTTATATTATAACAGCAGGGGTTCTCCGTGAAGCCCATGACCTCCACCTGGGATAACCGGCTTCGAAGTGCAGTTGGCCATAAACCGTCAGTCATCACGTTACATCGATATGCCTGCAGAATGGGAAGCATGGGATTACGCACGCGTTTAGCGGCGTTTGAGCGCATGTTTGCTGGCAACGTTCATCCCAGCTTGCAAAGAAGAGGCTGAAGGACGATCAACAGTTGATTGCGAGTCGAATCCTAAAGCGGCAGATGGAGGTCCATGGGCTACTTCACGCCGGAAACAATCCGCACTTACATGCTGGACCATTTCGCTCCCGATACCCGGCAGAAACAGGTCTGAATGCATGTCCAGTCTGCTGCTTGGAAGTTGCCGTCTTTGCTGAGGTTTAGGTTTAATTGAAGAAGGGAGGGCAGGTTTCAGCTCCCGGCTCCGTTGGTCGGGCCGCGCCTTGAAAGGCTTCCAGGGCTTCCTGCCAGAGCTGGCGACGCGCGTTTATTTGACCGTGGCTAAAGGCGGTATTGAAGATGAGTATGATGGCGAAGAAGACGAGGCACATCATGACGAAAGATGACGGTCACGATGCTGGCGACGATGCACGGACGACTCTGTAGAGATGGCTCAGCCGACACAGAAGAGGGCTGGGAGGCACCTTATGGGGTAAAAGCTGGAAAGGGATTGCTAATTGGTTTTCACTTCCCAATGAATCAAAGGCGAATGTCCCCCTGTAAAACCCCAAACCATAGACCGTTCCTGTTTGTGCATTAAGAACCCCATGACGAGAACCTTGAACCCCAAACCTCAAAACCGAAACCCGCAACACCAAATCCTCGCAGCTTCAAGGAGCGAATGGTTTTCGTTGGTGTCAACGTTGACCACGCCGAGCTCTCCAAGTGGGTCATGCGTGCCAGGGCTGAACGGGCAATATTCAGGATCATTGACCATAGTATCCCCCTGACAGATCCCTCTCTCTCTCCCTCTATCTATCTATCTGCCTGTCTGTCTATCTACCTACCTATCTACCTACCTACCTAATCTATCTCTCTATCTATCTATCTATCCATCCATCCATCTATCTATAATATGTATATTATATTCACTGTTTCGGGCGAAGACGGTTCGACGCAGCCCCTAACATGCGAGAACAAAACGAACTCGGGGGGATTCTCGTGAGCACCCCACAATCGACCGCCCCCCCGGAGACAGTAGTGATCGAGCCCCGAGGCCCCGGTACCCAGAGAACCCAATACCCCTTAATTAACCCAAGACCCCTTGACTAAGGAATATATCTTAAATCACAAATAATACTAAGGCCCCTAGAGTTTAAGGTATATTTTTGGGTACCACAGACTGAGCGCGAAGCGCACTATGTCGCAAGGGGGCTCCAGCTCACGCAGAGCTGACTCAAAGCGACCAGACACCGGGACCGGTCGATGGGACAGCGGGACAGGCAATCCGACCTGCGAAAGGCAAAACCCGTACAACCACGAGCACGTGCTCACAGAGATGGCTTGGGAAGACCCAAACCCTCGACTCCCAAAACGGCAGGTGAAAGAGCATCCGTGCTGAAAGGTGTCGATGTGGAGAGAGCGGCCGTCGGGCACAGGGGCAGGCCAATGCGCAAAGCCAGCAGATCGAACCCAAGCGGCAGCTCCGGCCAACATGGCACGTGTCCTTGGCTCATAGGTGCCCTCTTGGCCTGCTTCAAGCTGAGCCCGCCAAACCTCCGCAGTGTGTCGCAGGCACCGAAGTGGCAGGCACACGCACGCAAATGACGAGCGGATGCTCTCCCATAGCTCAGGCACTGGGGGCGACCCTGTCTCGTGGTCAAAGCAAATGTGGGCGAGGCAGTCCAGCACTTAGGCAAATGGCGACAAAGCCGAACGCGTGTGGCAGAATATCGCAAACATGTCGGACCCTGAAGTCCACGTGCAGTCTTGCGGACTTCGTTTGTTCTGCCGTGTCGTTTGAACACGTGCACGGCCCACGATATTATATACATACATATACATATACATATACATATACATATACATATACATATACATATACATATATAGCTATCTATCTATCATTAGTAACAAGAGCATCCCCCCTCCTAGTTCCCTCTATCATTACGCACAAATCCTCAAGAGCCTACTCTGCTTGTTGGGGCCCCCGGAAGTTAGCCGTAGGCCGTCGTCTTGGTAGCCATGGCTCTGAGGGTTTTTGGGAGTTGTTGGGAGCTTCAGGAAAAATTCAGGGACTGTCGAGTTGAAGTATGCAAAATCTCAGGTCTACGCACCCCTCGCATGCAGTCCCTCTCGCTGTTTTCTAGGTGCCTTCGCGGACTATAACGCCATTCCCCTGAAGAAGCGCGAGGAGAAGAAGGCACGAGCTGTTGTGCTGTTGTCGGCGGTTCAAACTGGGCTGTAGCAGTTCTTCTGTAGGCTTCTTCGTTTTCAAGCGCTTTGGGGTCAAACTTTAGGGCGGATGGTTTCTGCTAGGGCTTTCGTCGCTCGCATTACTTGTCTCCGCGAGCTTCAGTACAGTAAAATGAGAAGTCCTCTTCGTATGCAGAAATAGCAGGGACACGCCGAATGTCAACCTTACAACGAAACTGCATGCAACTGGCTTTTAAGGGGCGGATCGCAGACGTCTAAACAAACGTAGCGGACGGCAGGATTACCTGTGGCACACATTTGCCAGGAGCCCCTTCAAGTTGACTTGGAACACCGGGCAAGTCCGGGGGCTCTTTCACCCTAGTCCCGGAAGCGAACAGTCGAGTGAGACCCGGATGCGTCGACTGCGGGTTGAAGTCAGAGCAGGTTGTGTCTTTAAGCCTATAAACCACAAACCTCTAGGTCTCCGCGAGTTGCTTAGCAACAAAAAAAGCCCAAAACCTAAACCCTCTTCGGGCTTTCTTTTTTTCTCAAAAAGCAAGAAAGACCCTCGAGGCGCAGTACACGGGTGGCGACATGCGCCTCGAGGGAGCCTCCCCGTACTGCCACCTGGCGCTCGGGCAGAGGCCTCAGCACTCAGCTTGAGGCTCGTGGCCGCAAGAATTAGAGTAAATACTAATCATACGATGAACAAGTTCTTAGTAGTAGTGATAATACGAGTCATCAGTCATAGATACTAGTAGTAGTAGTAATAGTAGTCATCATCCTATGAAAAGTAACCGTGCCATGAATGGAAACGGTAATATTGATGATCAGAGGACTCGTAAAGTGGAGCTAGTCTAGGGCTGAGGGCGGCAGGTGTAGAAAAAATCAGGGTCGCACCACAGTTTGGCGTGTTCTTTGTGCGGGTTGCTCGGAGCCGGAGACATCCATGAGAAGCAACTCTTGCCATCATCGCCTTGTCACCTTAGTCTGTCTAGTCGTAGACTGAGCCTACGTGACATGTGCAGACGTCGGTCTGCATTCATGACCGTCATGTGCATCCGAGGGCTGTCAACAGCATGTGTTTACTTTGGCGTCTTCTTGTACGATGCCTTGCGGTGTGGCTTTGGTAAGCATCAACATGTTCGGGAACTTCGATCCCCTGCTTCCTTGTAGGAGTAGCTTTCGGCATTTCGAGGCTCTTATGGCCTGTTTGAGTGAAGGATTGCAGGGATTCGGAGCCCCAAGACTGAGCCCTGCGACTCAGGTTTGAATCCACGGCCTTCGGACAAACCGAGCTGGCCCCTGTTGCCCTCGTCCAGGCTGGGACGGCGAGAGAGAGCAACGCAGCGGCCCGAAACCCCCTCAGCAACAGTACCCCCCTCTCTGTGAGATAGAAGTGTCCCTATGTACTAAACCCTAAGCCCTTCACGACTTTGCCCAAGACCCTCAACCCTAAGCCCAAACCATTAAGGCCCCTAGACTTAGCCCAAGTTGCTCTTGAGGCTAGGCAGGCTCCGAGGGTAGGAGCTTACTGAGGCCTGCATGCTGCCCAAGAAGACGATCACCTCCAACATAGAAGCCTCAAGACTTACCAATGTTTTTCATTCCTTTGGGTTCCTTATTGTACGTATAGTACAAGATACCCCTCCCCAAATACACTTGTGTCGAGTTCAACAGGTCGTTACAGGGGCCCCCCTAGGCCACTTTTGCACATCCCTAGAGAGCCGTCAACCTGCCATGCCAGGTCATCCAGGATGCTCCGTCAACTTGCAATAATTTTTGTTTGCTCGTTTTCTCAACTTGCCGGTCTTTGTTGTTGCAGCCAGGAGACACATGACTCTTTGCGGCTGTGATTCTTTCTCTGGTGACTTCGATTATCACGGCTGTAAACATGCCACGGGAGAAAGTAGTGCTTCTGCTGATGATGATGAAGATGGTGCTGCTGCTGATGACGATGATGATGATGATAATGGTGGTGGCGATGATGATGAGAGCTTCTGATGTGCTGCTGTCGTCGTTGTGGTGGTTGTTGTTGTTGTTGGTGGTGGTGGTGGGCGGTGGTGGTTAGCGGCATCCCTGCCCTGAGATCACCGTGCTGCGGCATTCTGTGGCAAGGGCGCACCACATCCCCAGAATCGCAGCCCAGGACACCCCTGGTGTGCACATGTGAGACCTTAAAGCCAAAGCTCGCAAACTCCTGCCACCTCCTTAAGAGACCCAAGCCCCCAAGTCCCAAGCGCAGGCCCTGCTGGGCGGAGGCTCCGCAATCTACAGCGGCATTGGCTCCGGGGTCACTTCCCGGCTTTCCACGCAGGCAGATTTCAGATGGGGGATGTTGTCAAAAGGATGGTGAGCACGTCTAAGACAAGACGGATGAAATAGAGCTGACTCTGAACATATCTTTGTACTCGTGAGTTCTGGTTGAAACAACGCACTGAAGTGCATCGCGTCCTGAGCAGGAAGGAGCTCAGCATCCGGAGCAGTAGGAGCGTGGAGCAAGGCAGACTGAAGCCAAAAACCAGCCTTTATCGTCATGTCTGCGGCCCGAGCTGGACTTCCTTTTGGATGTCTGCAGGCCGAAGTTCTGCGCGGCTTAGGGAGACGCGTTTTAGTCACAAGGCAACAGGACCAATTAGCTGTTCTTGCCAGGTGCTCAGACAGAGCCCCTACGTCGAATCATGTTCAGCCTTCAACACCTCGTGCCCCTCATCTGTGGGAACCCGGGAACTTGGAGGTCCAAGGCAAGACGAGCCCTGGGAAAGGGTTTGTCTTCACATGTAGGACCCTAGGAAGCCTTGGCAAGTTGAGGACCCCTGAGGCATTGCAAGTGTGTGGATCAGATCTGTCAAGGAAGTCAATACCTTGGCCTTCCCTTCAAATTCGCTTCCCGGAGCTTTCACGGGATGCCACGACGATGGCCTGAGATGTGCCAGGTACTCGGACTCCGGCCTCTTCGGCGTCTACGGCGTCTGCCAGCCCGAGAAGGCCATTCTGCTAGGATCTTTTTTTCCGTGGGGAGAAGGAGAGGAGGAGGCCCCCTGGAGATTTTTCCCAGGGGCTTTGTTTGCTTGGAACTCCGGAGCCGAGAGAGCCACGTCCTCCCTTTTGGCCGAGGCTTCCGAGATGGCCATGGCCATGGCATCTGCCCTCAAGGGCCTCTCCAGCGTTAGCAAGGCAGGTCTTGGGCTCTTGCATTTGGGGGCAGCAGGAGGGCTTTTGTTTTGGGGGTTTGAGGTTCTTTTGGATGCGGGCTCTACGAGGCTTCGCAGGTTTGCAAAGACCCCCTGATTGCCCGGACGAAGCTAGCAGCAAGTTCTACACTTTTAAACCCTTGGTGCGGGAGAATAGACATATGCCGAAGCGGGTTTCAGGCAAGCAAGAAGCACTGCCGCAAGTGGCAGTCTCACATGTGGGAAACTGCAGTGTCCGCAGCTTTGCTGGACGCGGGAAGTCTGTGCCTTCTCGCTTTAATGCCAGTATCATCGGAGAGAGACTCTGAGGCAGAAGGAGCTTGCCCCAAAAACTCCCCAAACCCCTCAAGAACACTCCCCAACAGCCCCCGAAAATGCAGAGCCTCCTCTATGAAAGCCTTTGAAGTTCGGAGCCGAGTTTTGAATCCCAGGAGGAGCTGGCAAAGGCCAAGGCGATGTTGAAGGGGAAGATGTTCCGCCAGGCAGGGGGAGACCCAGAGATCCCAATACCCCTTAATTAAGGAACATACTTTAAAATTATAGGGGCCTTAATATTACGATTTAAGGTATATATTCCTTAATTAAGGGGTATTGGGTTCTCTGGGGACGAAGGGCGGCTGGGGCTGTGGCTGTGAAGCGTCTTCTTGGCTTTTTGGGCTTCGAGCTCCGGGTTTTGTTTGGTCCTTGGCGGCTTACTGCGCCTGGCGAGTTTGTGTCGGAGAGGACCTTCCTCCGAGACTTGCCGACTTGCGACATCTCCCCTAAACCCTAAACCCCTACACCCCTAAACCCTCCAACCCTAAACCCGAATGCAGGGCTTGGGATACTTTCCGGAGCCGCCGGAGCACCCGAGCCCCCTAAGGGGCCCTCGTCCTGCAGGCAGACGACGACAGTGAGCTGATGCAGGCGTGCGCTCTGCCCTGAAGAACATGGGGGTTTGAGTAAATGCCGCTATGGTTCTCAACATAGAGTTATACTTCAGTTCCCAGTAGTCACGACTACATCCTTCCGAAGTTGCAGATACAGTGTGTCATGGTCTGTTAAACTATGTTTGTTTTAGTCCGCTTCTTAGCATGTTACAGTAAGAAGCACAGTAGTCTATTATTAAAAGAACACTTATACTACACTACAGCATACTCTGTGGGCTGGAAGAGCCTGCCTTGGGCGGCTTTGGTCCCGACGTGACGGTCTGGACAACTTGAGAGGCGTTAGGGACTTTAGGGATTTCTAGGGTTTTAGGAGTTTCGGGTCAGGTTTCTAGGGGTTCCTGGAGGTTTTCTAGGGGTTTCTAGGGGTTTCTAGGGGTTTGTTAGGGGTTTCTAGGGGTTTCTAGGGGTTTTGGGGACGCCTCACTGGGTGATGCTGTGTCGCCTCAGTTGGAAGGGATGCCAGCTGCTGTACCACTGGCTTCTTGTTAGGGGATTTAGTGGATCTATTATATTTTTTTCAAATGTGGTTTCTTGATTATGGTCACTTATCTTTCAAGTTACCGGAACAAAGAAACCATATGATTTCCTATAGATCCCCATGATGGTAACTTAAAGAACATCCCCTAACAAGAACCCAGCGTAGCAGGGCTTCCATCAAAACTTTCCTCGGATGGCCACGTGAGGCCCCGGTGAGCTTTGACAGAAGCACCAAGCTTCTTCTAGCCATTAAGGCCATATGCGACTTGATACCTGCCTCCTTTTTTAGTATTAAGGCCCCCCCATATATACTCAAATACATATGCATATATACATAGACATAGACATATACATATACATATACATATAGATAGAGAGATAGATAGATAGATAGATAGATAGATAGGTAGGTAGATTGGTCCCTGTTCCTCTATTGTCAGACTCCTAGCAGGACATGGGCCAGCAGGTCTTGCTCACTGGCAAGCAGGGGCCCCATCCTTGAGTCTGCGGCCGAAACAGCGTCTAGGGGAAAAGTCGGGTTGAGGGTCTAGGGTGTAGTTGGGTTTAGGGCATAGTCGGGTTTAGGGGTTGGGGTATAGTTGGGTTTAGGGGCTAGGGAAAAGTTGGGTTTGGGGTTTAGGGTGTAGTTGGGTCCCTTCAAAACCCAGGGCTTTGTCATAGATGGGTTTAGCTGGCCCAGATACAGGAGCTCAGTAGCATACTTCGGTCTTTCCTGCAGCCTCCGAGCTTGAACCCACTGCGGAGTCTCCAGTCATGTCGGCCCTTCCTCTTTGCTCTTACACCCCTATGCATCCGATCGGCTCGCAGTGCTATACTCTAAACCCTAAGCCCCTAAACCCTAAACCCTATACTCTAAACCCTAAACCCCTAAACAATACTCTAAAACCTCAGCCCCTTTGACTCTTTCCGAGGTACGGTTCGGCGGCCGAGTTCGGGAAGATCATCGACGGCGTGACGGAAGCGGATGCCTCTCGGTTCTTTGAGGGGTTTTGGCTGCTGTTGAGGCTTTTGGGGGGGGGATTCTAAACCCTAAACCCTAA